ATTAAAGGGTGAGTTATTCCATTCACAAGACACAGTCTTGTTTAATTTCCTTAACCATCTGTAAATTAAATTCTATAACATTTTTAAATTCAATCCTATAAGATTTCCATTCCCTCCTTAGGACTAAGCACCTATTTAAAGAAATAAAATCCGCATTCCTACGCATGTCGCACAGAATCAGCATATTCGTTGACCGATTTTGAATCCACCCTTGCCGCACGCAATGGAAATATAAAAAAGATATCTGCTCGAGGCCAGCGACATAAATAAATTATTATTTTTTTCGCATGTCTCTGTCGCTTTGTGTATCCTAATGTGTTTGGGTGGCGGGCGGCGAAACAAGGATAACATGACTGATTATGTAAGCAAAAGGAAAGCAGTGGGCCCAAACAAAAGCGTACAGCCAAGCACATTTGGGTCCTGGCTCGTAGCCCCCGTATCTTCTGGCATTTTCCGGGTTCTCCTTTTTTTCGGCAGTTTGCCACAGCAGGTTGAACGGCAGTGGCATATATACACACCCACTTATTGTGCTGTGCGTGTTTTTGAGAAAGTGGCACAATTTTTACTTTACGAACGCCTAATGTAATAAAGCCCGCCCTCCCAAAGACCCTCAATCCCCACAAATGGATGGCCTGCGTTTAGCATTCGCAGCGATAAAGCCACTGGAGCAGCAGCATCAGAAGCCATAGAAAATCTGAGGTTGGCCGGAGGAGGATGTCGGCCATGTGTGCGACTAAAGGTGGCCCAAAGCGGGGTCAATGGCCATAAATCAAACCGAAAATTATACGCATTCATCTGCTGAGCTGGCAAAAGAACAAGAAAAATATCTGCCACATTGCCTGCGGCGAGGGTGGAGCTGAAAATGCTGGAAATGCTTTCCCGTTTTTGGGGGAGTTTTCCAAATGGCGGAAAATATGGGTAACTGTGCGAAATCTAATGGCCACCAAAAATCGATAAAGGGCGAGCTGCCACTTGGTTTTATTTCTGTTCACCTGACGGCCGAGTGTTTTAATTGCGTGCGAATCGACGGACGCCCGGCATACAAATATTAATTCCGTTGCTAATGCCACAAATTGTTATTCAAATTCGTTGGCCATTAATCATTAATCGAAAGCTTAACGACTTTGAATGGTTAAAATATTGAAATTAAATTAACATTATGGCGGACGGCTTTGATGGGTAACAACGAAATGGAAGTTCACTACAATACACGCAGTTAAGAAAATTGTGACTCGAATTCTTTGATTTTCAAATCTTGTTTTAAAAAAATGTACATTAATCCGAGTGCTGGCAATTGATTTTTTAGTTGCAGCTAGTTTTTGTCATTATTAACTATATATTTTTTCTTAACAAACTCTTTAGAGTATCAGAAAGTTTTTAAAAAATAACATGACTATAACCAGTAATTACTCTGAAATATAAGATACGACTTTGAAAGTCGGAGAAAGAACAAGGTAAACAAAGTAACAAAAACCGGTGTGAGAAAAAGTATACATTGTATATACAAACAAGTATATTTAGTGCTAATAATAATACGGTTAGAATGCGGCATTATCAAAAGACATATAAAGAAAGAAATAAAAGGAAGTTTGCTTAGTTATTTGTGCTTGACCCAAAGAGAATGGATTCAGGACTGTGGATCAACTGGCAAGCGAGAGGAGATTGACAAGTTCCTAATAAAATATTAGGATGAACTTTATCTTTTAAAACAACAAATACAAATTATTTCAATAACTCAGTTAAGAATTTATAAAAAGTTTCAAAACATTAAGTTAATCTTTCCTATAAGCAATTTCAACCTCAATTAAGTAAACTGACTTATTTAGACTGCTAAGATAAACTCCTAGGTGGAATAAAAAGTGAAATATATCTGAGAGTCAGTGATGCGGCGATACCTTTGCAAGTATCTTTGTATCTTTGAGATACATTGTCGACCGGTGGCTGTGGAGCAGTTCAAAGTGAACTGGCCGCCAATTAACTAATTTGCCAAGTCTCTCAGAGGGGCAATTAAGAGGACACGGCCAACGACCAGAAAGGGAAGTGCACTCACACTGGTCCAGAGAACACATACGTTTATATATATATGTATATATATACACACGTGAGTCTCTTGCAGATAATTCAACTTGTTGCAGTTGGAATTTGTCCCCCATCTCAGTGTTTACTTGCCCCGCGCTCACCTGGCAGTGTCAGAAGTCAAGCGAACTGATAATTGCAATAGTGCCAAGTGGATTGAAATACCGGAAATGGCAAACGGAGAACTTTCAGATTGTCATGAGGTAGGTATTTTGGTACGGGGGAAAACAAAGCCAAAAGTATTTTCAACCTGCCGAATTACGTTCACCAAATGGAACAGTTCATAGGCGGGCGGGCCAGAATTTTCCAATTGCTTCGTTTCATGTTTATCCGCAAAGTGGCGCCAAAGTTTATCAACAATTCAACAAATTAAGATACTTTATTGCACATTATTATGTTATTATTGTGAATTGCGTGCCATTTGCTTTCGTTTCGTTTTGGAGGGGAAAAGAGGGCGCCGACGCGTCGATCTTGTCGAGACATTAAGACATTCGCTCCATTCATGTTCCCCCCGGTTATAAATAGACCCCGCCCGAATGATAATGAAGCCAACTCCAAAGTGTGTGCAAACATCTGGCCAACAAAACGATCAAAGCCGCACACATCGGGAAAAATTTACATATCTCGTGTACATATCTTGTATATTTGCTTAGTTATCGGGAATGAAAATGTATCTTTCATAAGAATCTACAATATAATTGATCCTAGCTGTGAATTTTGTATGCCCCTTTGATATAAATTAGATGGGGCTTTAGATATACGGAGATTATTGGTTATCGTATTTAAAAACTTTTTTTTGCTTTGTCTCCAAAACATATTTGTATGTTAATTGATTAGATACATTGAGTAAATTTATTTTATGTTTTTATTTTGTATCGTTTCATAAAAAAGGTGTGTTTATAAGCATACGGCTTAGTTTTTTTCAACTTAAGTGAAATAAAAAGAAAGCAAAACGATATTTTTCTATATCCTAAAGTAATTCATATCTTTATTATACTGAGGTATTTTTAATGTTAAAAATCATTTCACTTGAGGGCTGTTAAGATATTAATTGCCATATTTCTTAGCCTCCAATAAATTATGAAAACAACATCTATAACCTCGCATTAAAAAACATAAACATTCTTATCACCCATCCCCTATAACATCTGCGTCAAACTGGTCTAATGGATTATATCCTTAAAAGGCCGACAGCAACCGCTCCAGAAACTCCTCCCGCCGCGAGTCAGACAGAAACATTATCCAGACAAAGAAGCATTATTGTAATCGATTGGACTTTATTCTATTAGCGTCGGCATAATATACATTTGGCCCCTCAAAAAACAGCCACAAATTTTCTATATATGACAAAAAATGAGTCGGGAAATCGGAGAGGGAAATGGAGAGAGTGGAAAACCGCATTCGCAGGAATACATTTCCCGCCATAGACTTTATTAATTTTCTAATGGATTTTACGTTTTCTGCAGTTGAAGATTTCAACATTTCAGATAAATATTTATGCGTGGGGTTGGGTTGGTTTGGGTTGGTTGGCTATAAGGACATAGAAACCGTACTTGTTGTTGTCACTGCCGGCGACAGGACTCTCCGGGTAGTGTCCCTTTTTTTTATGGACAGGAATTGATTACGATTGGCAAATGGCACTCGGTGGAAGGAAGTTTTGTTTATGTTTGTGCTGGTAATTTATGCGATTGTATAAATTGGCCATAAACATATAGGAAACTGCTGAGGTTGCTTGCTGCCTGGTTTGTTGTTGTCTGTCGAGTGTTTGGTTAACATAACTAAAAACAGGAATTAACAGCCTTTCGAGTGCGCCTAAACGGGCGAAAGTAAATTAAATGTGTGTTTAATTGCTGTGCGGGGGAGGTGCCACTGTACCACTGCAATGCACTGCATTACAGTGCCACTTGGACTTTCGTGCCCCGGGGCGATTCTTGTCAAGTGCAACCTGCTGAAAAACTGCTAACAAAATGATACGCTTTGTAAAATTCGCAGCCAGGCATCACCAATTTTCTCGCTGATTTTCTTTGCGTGCCAAGTGATACTTTTACCCGATTTTCTTCGCTGGGCGGTGGGTGGTGGGTGGCTTTTAATTGCACACCAAGAGGAGCCAGGAAAATGTGTCTCTGTGTATTGTACCGACAGTGTTTTTGGTAGCTTATCGTATATATGTTTGTGTTTATGTGTGTTGGCCAGAGTTGACAAACTGAATAATTGGCAATTATTTTGGGCAAATTTTATGAGCTGATAATTTCACATATTATATGTACAGAGTTGCATAACTTATTTGGCCAACACCTATTTTGGAGGCATGCACATGCTGAACTATGACAGACACTGAGATACAAATAGGTATGCATGTATGTACATTGGGATTCTAGGGGGTTTTAAGTTGGAGGAATGCACACAACACAGAACTTACTAGATTTATTGGAATTTGAAAATATCGCTTTACCTCTCGAACTCTGGCAGGAGACGCTTCCTTTTGACTGACACGAAATGAAGACAAACGGGATGATCAGGATGATGGTGATGTGATGATGTTGCAACACCAACAACAGCAACAACAACCAAACGCAAAAATTAAACTCAAAATTCAAAGAAGCTCGATTCAATGGATTTGGAGATTTTGGAGAGTTTTGGAAAAATACTGGGCATTTGTATGTGGGCGGGTTTCGTTTTAATTTGGTTTGGAGTGTCTGTTTCGAAAAATATGTTTTTTGTCTGGGTTTTTTGGGACTTGGCATTCTCAAAATCAAAATTAGAGAGTTTCCACAAAAACAAAAAATGGCTTTGCAACGCATATCGTAAAGGTGAATAAAAAATGTGAAAATTCAAAATGGGTTTTCTCACAAAAATTCAAAACAAATTATAGGCAAAACTATAAGCTAAGGGTATACAAAAAATATAACAAAACATTGACTTACCTAGCCAGTCTGGTAGAAGTGAGCCCGCAAGAGATTCTGAGTATCTCTTACCTGGAAAAAACAGAGAGAAAAAGGTATTCAATTATAAAGGTCAAGGGCGTCAGTGTGCCTCACATGTTAGTAAAAAAAAATAAAACCATCCAGTTAAAATAACAAAATAGTGTGTTAACCACATATAAACTAATGAATAATATAATTAAAAAGTGACTTAAAATTTAACAACATTAAGTGTAAAATATAAAATAAGTTTAGAAATAAATAAGTCTTGTGATGTTCGGTGCTTAAAATAAAATGCACAATAAAAATTTAATTATTTAAGTAATTAACCAAAAAATGGGAATTTAATAAATAAACAAAATTGTAATTGGTTTAATTAAGAACGTAAAGAACACATTTAATGAATTAGTTCACAATATATATGGGTTATAAGGCTTTGTGCAAAAGTATCTTGCTTATTTATGGTGAAAACTTCCACTTTTTGTTGTAAAATGTAAAAAATAATAATGCTTAAATTGCCGCGCCTGTTTGAGCAACTATAAAAGCAACCTGACTCGCTAAGCAGTGAGTTAAGTTTTTCATAAATTTGCGCAATTTGAGGCTGCCGGAGGTATTTCGTTTATGCGCATGTAAATAACCCCAGGTAAATCATAATTCTAAGCTCAGCCTGGGGACTGTTGTCCCATCTCCCATCTTCCATCTCCCGGCGTTCTCTAATGCTAATCTAATAACTTTAGCCGTCTCAAGAATTTATTTGCCTCAACAGCAGCGCACAAAATTATGCACGGAGGGCAGACCCTAATCCTCCGGCCCAAGGTAAAAGTGTTCCCGGCGGAAGACGTTGGAGCGCGTCAGGTGTGCGCATTAAAAAGGAGACCTCCCCGCCACCCCCCCTATCCACCAATTGCTCCTCGCAATCTGGTAAATTCCGTACAAAGTTTTAAATAATCGAAAACGACACGACGCACTTGGCGAAAAGTTGAAGCATGTAAAATTTGCATAAATAACAACTAAATGCAACTTGGCGCTGGGCAAAATGTTGCCAAATGATGAATTGAGCGGTAGACAGAAAAAGTGGCTGAGGCGTTTTTATCCAGAAAAGGTAATTTTAAGGCAGATGAAGACATAATTTCTTGTTTAAATCTCTTATGAAAAATTACAAAGAGAATTTAATAAATTTGGAAATTTTTAAGTAAGTATAAATATTAAAAGTGCTGTTTCTTCCTAAAACACTTTTTTTTATGTCAGATGCTGGGTTTTGGGATTTACTTAATGTTGATTGTAAGCTCGCTCAAAAAAAAAAAAACCCTCGTATTTTATTAGTTTGTAAATGCCATTTAAAGAGTCTGTTAAATAAACGAGTAATTTTAGGTGCAATGCAAACAATTTAAAAATATGTTCCCTGCCATACTGACACTCCACCTTCCTTGTAGTTCGCTGGCATTTTGATTTTTGATTTTGAATGGATTTTTCATGAACTCCGTCGGCATCCCACAGCCCCTCAAACCCCCCCTTTGCGCTCCCCTCCAAAGTTGGCAACTGCAGCCAACTCAATCGACGCGTCTCCGTTGGCGTCAAAAATGGGCGTAGCTTAAAAAAATAACAAATGAAAGCAACATGGGGAGGAATCAGGCCGAGGTATTTTTTTTTATTTTCGCTGTGTCTGCTGCGCTGTTGTATGCAAATAAATCAGCGGCGCCCCATCACATGTCTCCGGATCGAGGGGATGGACAAAGGGGAGCGGCCTGCTGCAGTGCGCAAAAACATATCTCACACTATTTGTCATGCTTTTAGATACTTTTATTTTAAAATAAATTGCAAACTCTTTTGCGACAGTCGCCCGTACCCCCGCTCAGCAATATTTTATAATGAAAATCCGCGACATGTGCATGCGAATGCAGTGGAAATGCAGCAGCACAATTTTCACATTCGCATTCGACCAAATTTATCGCGCCAGCAGTTCGGGATTTTCGAATTGGAATAAATGCGCGCCAGCCAATAAATAAGTTAAATTAATGGCCGTGTGTTGACTAATTTTTTGTCGCCACTTGCCCGTTTACTCCCTCTGTTTTGCTGTTGTTGTATTGACGGTTAATAAAATTAGCCAAATTTACGTCTCTTTACCCATTCGGCCATTAACAATGACCATCATCCCCAAAAAGGCCAACAAAACACACACAAACCCAATCTCTTCCCATCTCGAACCCTTCCGATTGCATCCCCCTTAGATGGGCGGCACAATCTGTTACTGGATGTGCTGCCAAGCGTGAGAGAGTAAAGTCCCTTTGCCTGGATTTATTATTTTTACAAGATAAATGCAACATTTTACATTGGAATTTACGGGCGTGCGCCGAAAAAAGTCACAGCAAAAACAACGCCAAAGGCAAAAACAAACAATGACAAAGTCGAAAGTCGATGTACAGTGGGGCAATAATAAAGTAATAATTCTAAGAAGTATTTAAATTTTTTTTTTATGTTTTCCAAATAAAAAATTTATTTTTTACTAATTCTTTATTTTTAATTTTCTTTTTATTACTGTACTATATTTATTACATTATTTTAAATAATTTCTAAACTATTCCACAGTTTTTTGTAACCACTGTCCGATGAGAATAAATTTCACGTGGCAACAAGGGACAGGAGTTGAAGCAACAAAAACAGCAATGGCCAGCGGCCTTTTGGCCATTTTCGATAAAGCACATTTAAACAAATGAAAATCCTTTAAACGAGGATAACACACAGAGAGCACGTCCATGCTCGGTTTAACCCCATGACTCCAGGAACCCCCAGAATCCCCAGCCCCTGAAAACCACCCCATTCCCGCAACGGATTCACTTGAGTGTGTAATTGTGTATTTATTTGCGTTATTTGACAAAATATCAACAAGCACAATCAATCCTCAACACTCCCATCCAGGGAGTGCGACCTCGCATCCATTTGGGGCCCCTCCCCCTTGGCCCCTTTTAACCCCCGCCCCTGGCCTGTGGACTGCAAATTGCAAATGCTGCCATATGTCTGCCAGGGTTGCCAGGCAGAGAAATCCATTTAAATTAAAGCTGAGTTGAGCTGCATTCGAAAACGCATAAATATCGGTGTGTCTCCCCGTCTGAATGTATATGTATATGTGTATATATACCCGGCAGATCGGGGCTACAAGTGTATATGTGCGTTGTGAACTTTCAATTTGAGCTGAATTCAAATTTAGTCCAGGCCAGGGCAATAAAATGTGCGCAAAAAAAAAAGAAATGGGAAAAATCGTTTGTTGCTCCTCTTTCTTTGCCTCCGAACTTTGGCTCAATTTTCGCACAAATTTAGAGACTGCAAAAGGCAAAGAGGACTTGTATGGGGTCTGCAATTGTATCTTATGCAAATTTTCCTAAATTAAACAAAATCTTCGAAAACAGAAAAATAAGTTTCAAATTTATAGGCGAAACTTGTGTATCGAACCTAAGTAATGGTCGCAACTTCAGGCCTAGGACCTTTGCAGGACCTCCTCTAAACCCAACAGTGTGTGCTGAAATGCCAGGACCTCCCGTACACATACACCCCTTCCTCTTTGCGAGTGTATTTGCGAGTGAGTATCTGTGTGTGTGTACAATGCGACAAAGACTTATGGTTTCAGTGCCGGAATTAGAAGCTTTCTCTGCCTGCATTTCCACTGAACAGTGAACACTGAAAACTGAACACACTGCACTTGTTGTTGCTGCCGCCGTCGGTGGAACATTTGTCGTCCTTGTTGCTGCTGCTGTTGCCCACTGTAAAATATATTGCGAATAATTCTCAATATATCGTAAAATGTCTGCTGCTAGTTCAGTAAATATGCAAAGCTCGTTTAGCGCAAACAGTTGGGGGTTTTGGGCGGGAGTTTAAGGGTCGGTTTCAGGGAGGGTTTCGTCCACTGATTTAGGGTATTGGCAACTTTTGGTGTTGGCTAAAGAAATGGATTCAAAATAAAGCCCTTACGAGTGCATAAGAGTGTCATTAATCATGGCTGCGACCAATTTGAATGGGGAAAAATACACTGAGCGTAAGAAAATATATATTATAGGAAATCTTTATGCCAATTTGTAATAAAAAATAGTAAAATATATATAATATGTTTTTATGAGGCATATTATTTTAGTAATATTGAATTCATGTTAATCATTGAAACGTTGTTTTGTTTTCAACCATTCCTTCTCCCATTTAACCCCTTAGTTAGCTTTGCATAAAGGGTGGCATTTGCTCCAGCCCCCCCAAAACCCATGGACTCTCGAAAAGGGAAACATATGGCATTCTGCGAGTACATTGACGATGGGTCGCACACTTTGACAGTTAATTTCGCAATTGTATTTCAATAACAATAAATTTGCACGTACGACATAAAGTGCGCTGGTGTGTGTGAGCGCTGTGTCCTGTGTGAAATTGTGTGCAGCTGATAAAGCCTAAACCCAGAACATTTGGTGCGGCAGCTAATACGGAATCTAATTAAATTTTAGCTGCTCTACGCACACCCCGACATCCGAGTACATGGCAAATGGCACAGCAGCACTCCTTTGCATACACATTGATCAATTAACAGACAATATTTTCATTTCGCCAATGGGTTAATTTATAAGCAACTCCACATTTTCTAAGGGGCTGGCCGAAGTGAAAATGTAGTTATTTTCTAGCTAAATAAGACTGGCTACCTCATGATTTTTCTATGTTTTCGAAATATTTTAAGAAAAAATTAAAACAAAAAAAAAATAATTTGAAAAATATATGAGTTCAAGTTCAAGGTAAACTAGGAAAACATTTAAAAATGATTAATAACCATAATATAATTAATTTTTCAAATTATTTAAACAAAGAAATTTTTAAAATTGCATGCTTTAAAAATAACATAAAATGTTGTATAACATATTATAAAATATTTCCATAAAATATTTTATAGTGATTTATCAATCACTGCTACTTTTAGCTATTAAAAATTAAATTTACCAGCACTAGATGGGTGTGGGTAGTACGAAAAGGGGGAAGGACCGAACCATATTGTTAATGGCGCAAAATCCGGGAAGCAAATAAAGCGGCAA